ATATTTTGACAATCCCTCCTTCCACCCAAATCCTGGTGATTATTTTAACTCAATGAAGCAGTCATTAGCAGCGGCGAGGTTATGCGAAGCACCAATCTGCCCATTTCCTGTCACTCGGTTCATGATAATACATTTGCTACGATCGGTGCCACAAACAAGTTGATGTGGCAATGGTTGTGATTGTGTAGCCTTCGGAGCATTGAAAACGCGTATTACAAAGGAGTGATTACACATTAGGCCAAACAGACCTCTGTTTTGTGATAACCGATTCTTCTGAATCCGACTGCGGTGGTAAACATAATTCTATCACTGCGAGACCCTGAATCGGTATTTTTCAGTTAAGACAACTTGCCAATTTACTACGTTGAGGATGCCTTGAGTACTGCATGTGGTTAATTCCAGACCTGGTGACTTCAACTGCGTAGGTACCAACGAATGTCTGTAAGCAGACTGGAGAGAGGTGCAAGAGTGGAAGGAGACCAGTGCAGATGCCGGTGAAATTCCCTACTCCTAATACCGCGGATACATCACTTTTCGTGCATCGACTGGAAGCGACATTCACTCCAGAGCTAGGGTTGTTAAAATATCAAAGAAGACCAATTGTGCGAGGAACAAGTTCCCATGTTCAGAGCGTCGTAAAGCTGATAAAGCACTTTCGACTATTTTGCACATCACTTCGCGTTTTGTCGAGTTATTCCTAATCCCACATATATCAACAAATTTTGACGATTGGAACAACCCACTAGATTGTGAGGCATGCTTCACTCCTTGATCTTCACTGGGAGGAATGGGCAGTCACTGATAGCCACAGTCTGACGGCATCTCAAATAGTTGCAGGATTTCACAGGAGGATCAATGAATGAGATGGTATCGGGAAAGCAGCTATGGAATTCGGCATGAGAAGTGACATTGCGGCGGCTCGCATTGATCCGTACTGCCACCAGGTTCACCAAATAAGCAGGAAATCTTGTGTTCTAGGTTAATCTCCAAGTCCAGCTGCGATATGCCTTAGACGAGGGGAGAAGTTCTTGGCGCTTCCGATTAAATCCCTGCAACGACCGATCATGAAGTGTAGGGAATTGTGCCTCGCTTTTACCTTGTTTAGACGCAGGCATTATAAAGATCAGATGAAATGCGTTCGTCCGTTAGCGTCGCACTGTGTGATGAGCCGTACGGTTTCACGATTATTTCGGACTCTTGCAATTGCCCGTTAAGTCTGACTGGATGTGCTCTAAGTTTGTCGACTTTACAGACACAGCTTAGTTTGGTTCCATGTCCGCAGCAGTGACTTGCCTACTTTGGTGTTTTGCATTTGAAGATGATGAGGAATCAGCAGATGATCATGCAGAAGAATGATGAATGCCTTCCATTCTAAAGACCAGTGAAGAAATACGAACTTATGGCTACCAAAATGAAAGGGCCTTAACTCGTCAAGAAAATTTAGTAATGGCTGGTTTGCAGGAACACTCCGTTCCCACCTACATCAATGGGGAGATGAAGGTCGTAGCTGATTGGAAGTTAAGCAAGTGGAAGGCATAATCAAGTGTTAGCTTTATAGATCACCAAGTTAGTGTTCACCTCTTTCGTGTGTCGTTCATTGGAATCTGCCGGTTGACTGACTAAAGGAATGAATGACTTGTGATGAAAAGTTATATTCGTCTTGCAGTCGCCCTTAATTTCCCGCACGACCGTTGCCACATTCGATTGCGGCTGAGATCTATCCTCTCTCGAATCGTGATAGAAGACCTTCCTAATAAACAGCCGAGAGCAATCAGCCAGTTGGCAATGAGTGTTTTGGCCTGTTTGGAAACGCAGGTGTCAAAATTGAACTGCAAGATAAGTGCTGAGGTTTACAGACATCATTTGCTACACGTAGCCAATTATTCTATGGTGTGTGCGTCCATTCAGAAGAATGGAGGATTCCTGTTTGGAGGGAGAGGAGATAAAACATAGCGTCAACTGCCAGCGCGTAGGCTGTCGTTCGCATTGACTGAGATTGTCGACGCACCGCTATCTTCAGCTCAAACGTAGTCATGCTTTAAAATAGGGAAGACAATGAAAACTTCGTACAAATTTTTACTTCGCATAGAATCGTTCTAGCGAAGTTATTCACTGTAATTACTAGGGAAACGCAGAGAATGGCATGGCTTGTAGTTAAAGCAGTGAGTTTGTTTTACAGTGAACTGTAAAAGGGCATGTTTAAGCCTAGCAATTTGTTGCCTCTATTTTAAATAAAGCACATATGACTTTTCTTCTTCTCCATCTCCTCCTCCTCCTCTTCCTTGTAGGCTGATGCTGTTTCAGAGGCCTCCAAATCCCTCATGATTTTCAACTGCCGTCTGAAACAGGCATTTCCTGCAACCGACTGGGAAAGGAAAAACGGCACTAGTGAGCCATGAAATGCACTCATTTGCCATTTTCACTCATTACAGCAAAGTGCTAAGTTTGATTGAAAGGCTTGGTTGAAATGTCACTTCTGAATGAGCTAATCGACATTTGAGGTTGGGTGGGGGAATGCCACGGTAGTGTACCAGTGTGGAGGGCATGTGCTGAGCCCCTCACCGACGATGAGAAGATTGATACATGGAGGAGTGAAAGTGCCTGCGCGGAACTCAAACAAGCAACTGCTTGTAGGCTACACCATTCCCCTTCCTTGTCTGAAGAAATCCGACCGTCAATTGATGTCTGATGTCTCATTAGACATGCGTATAAAACTCATTTTGCCAGAGGTGTATCAATCGCAATTGAAATAACTCCCACTCCTCCAACACTTCCCTTTACACTGCGTCAAAGTTAAATCTTTTCAATGCATGCGAAAGGGAAAGGGCAAAATTTGAGGCCAATCAAAGGATGGGCGTTCATGGCATACGAACAGAGGGGAGAGAGGAAGGGGAGGAGTGGCGGGACGGAGAAAGGGAGGGAAAGCATTTGCCATCCTTATCTAGTACCTACACATATTGCCTCCTTCGCTAATTACAAGCCTTGAGCACACTGGAGTGGCGTGGTCCTAGTCCTCTGCATGAGGCAACAGACACAAATCTGAAATTAAATGGCTGTAATACCATCCAACTTATCCCTCTCCCCGCATTCTCTACTTCTGTGTGTGTGTGCCTGTGTATGGTGCATCGAACTCGTCGGCATATTTGAACTGCGAAATGCATAGTGGGTCATTCGAAGTGGTGTTTATCAGTAGCATTCACCTCCACCTCCTTCTCCTTCGCTTCCGCCGTTTCCCTTTTCATATGGGCGTTACTCAAGAAGGGCGCATTGGAAAGGGAAATGGCTAAACTTCCTTTGTGGCGCTATACTAGAGGCTTGAAGCACAAAACGCGATTAAAAATGGAAGGCTTTAGATTTAAATAGTACCGAAAAGAATGTAAGAAGTAGTTTTGGAGCAAAATTAGCTGCAGTAGGCAATGTGTGCATTGGTGTTAAACAGTTAATACCCTTACCAGTCCTTCGATAATGTTTTCGAGTGTGACACCTTTTGAGCTAAAGTCCTTGGAATTTATGATTTAAGAAGGCTGATTTTA